AAGCAAGCAAGCAAGCAAGCAAGCAAGCAAGCAAGCAAGCAAGCAAGCAATTTATTCACGTAGACACACATGAGCTTACAATACGCAATTTTTCACGGCAAAATAACAAATTTCCACGGCACTACACAATTTCACTCACGGCAAAATACACAAACCCATTGCACAACACAGAATTGAATCCTTTCAGAGTAACACAGGGAACCCAATGTTTAAAATGACAGCGGGTACAATATTGTCGACAAAATTTTCCTCACCCCGGTAGCCCCCAGTGAAGCGTTATTGAATGGCGCCATTTTGTACTATTTGTGGCAATGAATTAGAAGAGAAAGATAGTTTTTGCACACGCTGTGGAAAAGGTGAGATTCTATTTCCTAAAAATAAATTAAATTTCATTAATTTAAATTTTTTTACACTCATATCATAAACTGCTTCGAAACAACTCATTACTTATTTCCAGGTCGGGATACATTTAGATTTAGCTAGTGTCACGTGGTCATCTTTCAACCAATGACAGTGTTCGTTATATCGGAAGATTTCGTAGCTCTATAACAACTTTATTTAGCCATGACTACCATAAAGTACAGTAAAACCACGCGTGTCGGAAACTAAAATTTAAGAACCTGTCAGGCTGAAATTTTCATTTTAAGCACCCTTCACATAAGAACCATTTCAGGCTGATTTCACTTTGACGTCACTGCTTGTTTATGTGGGGGATAGAATCGCCAAATCCAATAGAAAATTCAACGCAATTTGCTCCTAGCGAAACAATTTAATCTGACCTGGTTTTCAGATACAATATGTGTTAATATGTACTAAAAAATATTCTGAGCGTTTGTTGGCTATTCTACTTCTATTCGTGGATTGATACGGGTTTCAGATCAATTTTCGGTTAATTTGCGTTGATTTGACTCCGACGATTCTTTTAGTTATTTCCGTTTAAACAATAGATTGTTTTGATGTGACGTCATAGTGAAATAGAGCAATTTTCAGTACAAATGGAGCTCGAAGCAAAACAATAGAGATTTTCCA